GTGTGGTATGTGCTAATACAGTTGGAAGACATTAGTTTAGGGGCTAAATATAATTCCATATTTACTCTATTCGGGAAAGGTGAAGGGGGTCACTCTTGAAGTATTTTCTCATCTGCAAGTTGATTTTCTTGGTGAGAAGAAGACTTCCAGACAAAATTCATCTTCATAACATTTTAACTTTTCATCTGCAATTTATTTTGTCACATCTTATTATAAGCAGAGGAAGAAGACTATGTTTGTCTGTGGAGCTTCAGCAAACCAAGAGGGACCTGAGAACCTGTCTCTGCTGTAGAGCTAAGCTAGTCTTGCAGTTTTGGAAGATCTGCTAATGTCATTAGGTATTTCTGATGGAGAGCATTTCTTCCTAAGGGTAGCTACTTTGAGGGTAGCTCTGCTACCATCAGTCTGAGCAGTGTGAACTTGTCCTGACCTTGTGGTACCTGGGAGTACATGAAAAATGTTTGTGTGCGGGGATGGCTGAAGGTAGAGTGTGACTTCCCATGTTTGTGGCTCAGCGCTGTGTGTACTTGCCTGCAGCCACTGATGTAACTGTATAAAACCAGGTCTGGTAGTACTTAACCTCTGTTAAACTTTAAGCCTCAACAGAGATGCAGAAACATGCTAAGCCAGAAGAGTGTTTCAATGCATTTTATTTTACTCTGCTGAATTTTGTCTTTTCTGAAGTTGCAGAATGGATATTGAAGCATGAATATTGCTTTCTTTGTCTATGGTTTTAAACCAGGAGGAATGCATGAGATTTATGTGTAGTCCAGAGTGAAACACTGGAACCCTGTGTAAAATTATAAATTATAAATCTGGGACTAGTGAAATTTACAGTGAACAGTAATTAAAATGTCATAGATATTGATTTTAGAAATTAATGAACAAGCTGAAAACAAATACAGATTTCTAAGCAACTTTCCTCTGAAGAAACAAAAACAACTGGAGACTAAAAGAACAAAAAAAACCCAACTGAAGTGGACAGGACAGGAACCAAAATGTAGAAAGCCTGAAAATCTCTACCCAAAAGAATGGAGATCAAACATGTACATAACATTTATTTTGACTCTTAATTTCTTGTAGCAAAGGCAGGAGGGGAAAATAAAAATAAAAAAAAAAAAGAATTAAAAAATAGATAAAAAATAAAAATTGCGCCATTATTTCATTTTCCTTCCAAAAAGAATTTCTTAACTTCAATAATTTCCTTGCTGCACTGTTTAAGCTTAGCTGATTGATCCTTTAAATCCCAGGAAGTTGATTTTCACTCTTTTATACCTCTATATTTCTGAGACTGGTTTTCCAAGGAAAATATTGTAAGATAATGGTTTTTTAAAAAAAATGAAAGCTTACAGTTTTTGTCCTTTAAATGTCTGATAGACCTAGAACAGATAGAAATATGTATAACTGCACAATATGATAACATCTTGCCAAAAGAGAGTCAGGGGGGATATTAAACACAGAGCACTTTACTAAGCAGAGGCAAATGCACCTACTGTGAGTGCTGTCACCTCCTACTTTCTGTCCAGGAGGCAAGATGATGTAGCCATGGAAGGGGCAGAGCAGGTAGCAGTGGCAGTGGCTGGAATGAGCAGCAGGCAGGGGGAATCTATTTTTATCAGATGCAATGATAATATTATTTTTTTTTTAACATTTCTGAAATGTTCATACATTGTGTGTCACCTTGAGTTGTGCGTGTGCGGGGGCGAAGATGTGTGGGTGTGCTTTTTTCCCATAAAAGTATTTCTCAGAGTGGGAGGTTCTCATCCCACACTTACCAGGCTGAAAGCAAAGAAACTGTGTTCAGAAAGGTGTTGAATAAAGAAATTGGTTGAACAGAGGAGAGGGTGGATGAAAGAACTATGCTGATGTCAAAATAAAATGGGACAATTGCTTAAAACAAAAGCCCGCAACACTTTAGTGTGCTTGGAAGATTTAATTAGAACTATGTAGGCCTAAGTCTCCACTGCTTGTGTCTTACATAATCATTTAAGTCGTGCAAGGTATTATATTGTAAGAAGGGGAGAGATTTGCATGTTTCATCAGCAGTGAAAATACTTGAATGTTGCTGCATGCTGTCCAGTAAAATACACATGCAAAGCAAAAAAATAAATTGTGTCACGATATCTGTGTTTGAAAATGGTTACGATCAAATTTACAGTCACCAAGAATCTCAAAACTGTTTCTATTTTAATTCAGCTGTTTGTACACAGTTCTCACTTTATGATTTATATACCAGCAAATTATACAAATATATCAAGATATGTACCTGGAGATTCTTCACTGAAGTTGTAAGGCACCCTTAGCTTTTGTAATGTACCTATTACATTGTACTACACTATGCTGTAGCATTATATATTGCTGGGAAACTGGGATATCTTGTTTGGCAAATATAGCACCCGAAGTTAACTAAGAAATTAGAAGACAGAATGGATATTCATTGTTTTGGTGGAAAACTTTTAATCTGTTTTTTTTGCAGTTCACTGTACGTATAATGTCCATTTTTCTAGCAACCATCCAGCAGAGCATCAGGGAAGAAGGCTGGTTGTTGGTTTCCCTTTGGGTCAGGTGGGAATAGTCTGAAAGGTGGGAGTTAGCATCATCATACACATGATTTCCCTAATAAGCATGTTTAGATAGGAGGAACACCCTGAGTTCAGGGTGCCATTGATATGAAATGAATAGGACAGCAAGAATGGACCCAGGAACAGATGGGGAGACTTCAAGGCTCCGAAGAAGAATGTGGTTAACAGTAGGGCTTGTTTGTAGCAGAAGACAGAAGCAGAAGACTGCACAGTGAAGACAAGACTTATCAGGGAAGAATATGTGGATTGTGTAAAGCAGGCAGTTGTTGTAAGTTAGTGGTCTGCAAATTGGGACAGGAGGAAAGGATGTGACCTCTAAGAATATGATGTGCAAGAGAGAGAATTGATTTTGATCAACTTTCCATTTACCTCTCTTCCCTAGCAGACTGAATCTGAATCTGCAGATCTGAATTTGCTGGGTATAAAAAATTTACTGTTCCAATGTAATGACTTGAGGGACTGTGCTTCAAGGAATGTATTTTGCAAGCGTAGAGTCCCATCATAGTAGTTATTTAGCCTAATTTGAATAATAGTTAGACTTCCATGAGTAAATTCTTGTTGGAACTGGCTTGATATCTTAAATGATTATCCAGCCTTGGCAGTTGTCTTCAGTAACAGAAATTTAGCTGTCTTTTTGGCAAGCTGTCCAAGGAGTTAATTAGCTTCAGTGTAGTACTTTCTGTTTAGTTTAGTGAATTTATCTCTCTTCTGTCCGTGTCTGTCATTAACTTTCTGTCTCCTTGATTGCAGTCTACATGAATCTTCAAGTTTTTCATTAATTTTTTTTAGGCAAGCTCATTAGACACAGTTCCTTTTGTCTTTTAGCGTTTCAATGTTTTAATCATACTTCTGGTGTCCAAAGGCAGAGAAACTGTAATTTTCCTGTGCTGTATTCCATTGATAAAAACCTGCAGGTTAGACTTTTTCATTCACTATTTCACAGAGACTGCACAAGTCTCAGAAGTCACAGATTTCAACAATGAAGTCTCCATCCTGTCAACATGAATTGAATCACTTGTTCCTAGATTTAGGGTAGTGTACTTGCCCACATGAAATCCTACTACTCTTCGCACCTACTTTAGGAGGTGAGCTAGGCCACAGTGTATTGATGATTTCTCCAGTACTTATGATTTTGAAAACCCTGGCACTACCAGCATCCAAAGCTATACAGTTTACCGGCATTTTTTTCCCTAGATTTTTGATTAAAATGTTACATCAAGGAGGAGCTAAATCTAGCTCAGTTCTTCAGCATATTCAGTTCAGCCCAGAATTCTACTGCAACTGTCCAATCCCATGAATCTGGCTACAGCTTCATTTGAAAACTTTTTTTTTTTTTTTTTAATATAAACACATTTTGATGCATTTAATGACTGTCATTTTTCCTGTGCAATTTTAATTTTCCAGTTGTTGGTATAGATAGAGGCAAACACATTAAGAATATATAGAAGTGATATTTTTAACTTAAAAGTATCTAATAAAAAAAGAAGCTCATTGAAGAGCTTTAAAGATCAGTCCTTTTACAGTGTAGGAAAAGCAGTCTGATCATTAAACTTTCCCAACGTTAAAGTCTTCAAAAAGATGACGGCATCAGTCCTAACTTATGAGATAAAGGGCATTACAAAGCTGAGTTTAGAAACTAAGTGGCTATTGAATGATCTGAATATCAGAAACACTGTCAATCTTTCTATTGAAGATTTTTAAATAACATTTTTCTTAATTTGTAAACAGTGAGTTCTATTATTAAAAACAATAACTCAGAGCAGAGGGATTTCAGTCAAAATTCTTTAAGAAATATGTCTTAGTTTATATGCGGTGAAATGTGTCTGTGTCTCCTTTTATACCACAGCCTGACTATCACACATATTTTCCCAAGTAGAATATATGAGAGTATATGAATGGATAAGATTTTAAAAATTTAATTGGTGAGGTTTATGAATGGGAGAATTGTAGTTCATAGGCTGGAATGTCTTTTAACATAATTTACTAATGCATGTCCTGAGGGTCAGATCAAACCATTTCCTTATTATAATCAGTGTGAAAATAGAGTAAGTCTATCGCAAATTTAATTAGACTGGCGCCATAATTTAAGCTGTTGAATATTTGCTGAAACTCTTAATAAAACCTTCATGTACTCAAAATGTAGAGTACATCAAAATGTATAGTGTACTCAAAATGTACAAAAAATATATTGCCTTCTTGCAATGTCATCACAGCCTCACAGTTCCAGAGACTGTTTTATCTAAATGTGCACAAAAATATAGTTATATATAGGTATAAATTATAATTTTCAATGTTTCAAATGATTTGAATATCTTCTGTAAGACAATTTCATTAATATTTGCCATACAGGAATTGTTGATACCAAATTTCCCTTGAATGAATTATAAGCATTTTTGGGGGTTTTGTGTTTTTCAACAGATGCTTTTGAAATATCTGTGAATGAAACTAATCCCGTGTTTGCCAAGCCAGGACGAAATGTTGCTCTTACTTGCACTTATAAAGCTGGAGATTCAGTGCAGCAAGTGATGTGGGAAAGGATTAAAGCAGACCGGGTAGATACCATTGTTCTGTGCAACCCGTCAGGAAAACAAAGCTTTGGTTCAGATTTTGAAGAGCGTACACTGGTGGACTGCTCTGATCAGGCAAACTCCATGATTGTCATTCAGAACTTTACAGGCTCTGACTTTGCAACATACCGCTGTGTGGCTACTGGAAGAAACACAACCTATGTGAAGACTTACACTGTGGCTGGTAAGTAAAGGAGGAAGTGGTAAACATTTTAATAATAGCACCTTCTGAGCCGTTACCCATATAAAATAACTCTTCAGTAACAAGTGAGGATTTATTTAAATACCACATTCTGATTAACTGCATGTAAAAGATAGCAAAGTTAAAAGTTAATCTTGTTTCCACAGAAGGAAGCTGAATTTAAGCTTGTCTGATCTCATTATAGGACTTTAGACCTGTTTGTGAGAACTGGTTTGGTGTTAGAAAGGAGATGCTTTGGAAGAGGAGAGACTGCCAGAGTTTGCAGGCAGAGGTGGACATTCTCCCAGAGAAGGCACGAGAGGAATTCCCCATTAGCACAGTTCACCACAGGGTCCCTGGGGCAAGACCTAGCCTCCAACGAAGGCAAAAAGCACACTCTCAGCTGAAAATGTAAAATTTTGTAAGCTGGCTTCTACCTTATTCCTGTAAGGTAGAGGGGGGGGCTCTCTCTTGAGGGGGAGCTGAGAAACTCTCGAGGTTTTTCTGTGAGTATTGTCACAGTGTTTGATTATAATGGAAGCTTAGGTCCCTACGTGTAGATACTTAAAGTAAAATTTCTTAAACTGTGATCTGAATCCCACCTTTACTTCTATTTTCTGTTACGACTGAAAAAAAAACCCAGAACAACCCAGACTCATTTTTGGTTCTTGATGCAATTTGAAGATATGGTTCTTGTAACACTGCCGTCCTGCAGCATTCAGTCCAGCTTTTGTTGTACTGCCTTTGTTCCTGGTAATACATGAATATTAGTAGATACTTCTTTGGCAGTACTAAAAGCTGTAGTGTGGGGTATAAAATTTCAGAATATGCTTAATCTGTGATATGGATTATTAAGAAGTGGAGAATGCACTCGGGGAATAAATGCTGATCTGGTTTACTCTGAATACTTGACAACAGAAGTCCATGACATTGAACAGAGTGCGATAACAAAAGAGGTACCAGGATAAAAATTCCTCTCACCTCTGAAAAGTTTAAACATTCAAATTTTAGAATGTTGACTGTTTTCATATAATCAAGCATGCCCAAATTGTAGAGCAATAGAAATCTTTTCTGTATACTCCAAGTGCGGTGCTTCTCAAAATGAAAGCATATAATAAGTTGCAAAAAATACAGTAACTTTAAAAATTACCAGTCCTACCTACACAAACTATTTCTTCTCCAAAAGAAGAGTTCAGTTTCCATGCTTCTTTTGCTCTTGAAACAAATCCTATTTATAATTTTTAGTTCTAAGAATGACAGCATAGTTATGCCTGTATATTGCAGAAAAAAGGGTATTGAAGAAGCTGAAAGAGAGTATGATTCAGAAAACACCCCATTGTCTCCCTTTTAAGTCCTCACTCTGTATTATGAAGTGAACTTAGTTGAATTTTCATTTCTTCCAAAGAAAAGAAGTGTCAAGGATTTCCAATTATTTCTCTTTAAAGTTTGCACTGTTTCATAACACTATTAATATTTCCAGTGAGATAGGGAGAAACACTAAAGGGAAAGGAAAAATATGTCAGGTGTCAGCTCCCACCGCACCTTGTGGCATAGCCAGTGAAGTCTCTCACAAATTCATGAGTGACTTTCTCTTCTTGGTGCAACAGCTGTGGCTTGAATAAAACAAGTGATGACAGAAACTTGCTACGCTATGTTTTTGTGTATGTTCTATCAGTTCAGTCATGTAATTTTCTTGGGCTTAGCATTACAGCTAAGCCACATTCTAGCTTGGATTTGCTACCGAACTCTTCCAATGTTTTTAGTCTGTTGATGTGATTCTGCATGGGTACTGCAATTTTTCTCACCTTGCCCAGTTCCAGAGATGTTTCAGAATACTGAGTCTAGGAGCTGGGAGGATAGCTGCACTGTAAACAGTCACAGAGAATTCTCTTTTTACGTTGAGAGTAAGAGGAAAATAAGAACTTTTTTTTTTTTTTTTTTTTTTTTTTTAAGCTGTTGTTGAGAAGATCCTGAGAATTTTTGAAGAGGAGGAATCTTGGGTGAAAGATGGTAGAAATAAGAGTACAGGATTATTTAGAGAACTGGCAATAGTTCCAAAACTGCTGATTCTGAGAGGTGGTACAGTAGAAAGAAGCAGCTTGCTTCTTGTCTAAAGATGGCTGTATTTTTTCAAGGAAAAACAGCATGGAATTCCTGTGAAGAAATAAGGGAGCGAGGAAGGAATGGGTATTCAAGTACCAGGCAGGCCTGTGTTATTCTTGTGTCAGTAGAAGTCAGCATGCTATATTTAATGTTTTCCAGCATCAGTGGAAATAAAACAATGAGATCCATTCAATGTCACTGTTTGTTCTCTCCCACTAAATATTGTGATTGTTGTTTTCCAGCTGAAATGGGACTTCTGTAAGTATTTTTTAACCTACAGAAAGCAACATGTTTATGTAAAGTAGTGTAGCTTTTGTTGGACAACACTTATAGAAAAAGAAGGCTGAATATTACATAATTATATAATGTGTTCAAGAGACTATGGATTAATTTCCAAGGTCTTCATCATATTTCTCCTTCTAAAAATTCTATTAATATGGAGATTGTTGATATCACCATATTCCACATCTGAACCCATTTCTGACTTTCACTTACCGTGCTTTTTTCTTTGATTAGATTTCTTTTTCTGAGCGTGTTCTTCAAGGAAGGAAGCAGACTTACAATCTGTGTATTGTTTTGGTAGATGATTGGGAATGAAGGGGAGATGTCATATGAAAGAACTGAAAAATTAGCAGGATTGAAAAAGAAATGCCTGTTACATCCTGAAGACCTAGCCATTTTTGGAAAGATTTAGTAAGTCTTGTTTTAGCAGAAAGTGAGATCGCAAGCAAGCTCTCTCAGACAAAGTAAAATAGAAACATTTTGTGTCTCTGTGTTCCCACTAGATCTGAAAAACTGGTTGGTGGTTGTATTTAAATGTATGTTCAGGGGTCAGATTTACATTATGGTTTGTACTAGCACTTTCACCAGCTTTGTTGCCCTCCTCTGGATGTATTCAAATACCTTAATATCCTTCTTAAATTGTGGGGCCCAGAACCACACACAGTACTCCAAGTGAGGTCTCACCAATGCAGAATACAGCAGGTTCTCCTCTTTTGATGGGCTGGTTATTCTGTGTTTGCTGCACCTCAGGATGTGGTTTGCCCTCTGGCCTACCAGGGCACAAGGTTGACTCATATTGAGCCTAATGTCGACCAGCACCCCCAGATCCCTTTCTGCAGAGCTGCTCTACAGTCAGTCCTCTCCCAATTTATACTTGAGCCCAGTGTCACTCTGTCCCAGGTACAGAATTCGGCATTTGTTCCCTTCATCCACTAGGCAGGTGACCTTATCATAGAAGGATATCAAATTAGTTGAAAGAACTTTCCCTTTGTGAACCCATGTTGGCTATGCCTTTAAATGTCTTTCAGTAGCACCTGGTATGATCTTCATAACACCCAGATGAAAAACAGGGGGCTAATTGTTCAGTCATTGAGGGTTATCACACAGCCCTTCTGAGCTGGGAGGTGACAGCAGTACTTCTGTGTCATAGAAAACAGACAAAAGATAAGACTGCAGGTGGGGGGTGTGGAGAATTGGGATAGGAGTGAAATTAGCTTCCTTCTTCCTTCATGAACTCATCCAGTATGAACACGAGATACCAAACCATGTTTGTTAGCCTCCACTCAACAAAGCACTTTTCTCTGGGTGTGAATGCATTTATGCTGAATTTCTGCCTTTCAGTTGTAGGCAAAACTATTTCAGTGATGTCTAGTTAGCATACCACATGTGTCAGTCCAGCAAGGCATGTGACAAGCTACATGAAGATCTTTACAGTGCAGTTCAAATCTCTTGTTAAAACAAATAACTGTCTAGCCCATCAGTGCTTCCTCCTCAAAACCAAAGTCAGCGCACTGAAGGTCAAAAACCTTCCCACAAAAGAATTTCAAAATCTTGCAGAGAAAATGCCTAGGCGATGAAGATGGGGGAGAGGACACGTTGTCTAATACTTAACAGAAATTGTACTGATGCTGAAAAAAAACTTAATAGCCCCCCTTCAGCATATCACCTTTGATGAGAACATATGAACTAAAGAGACACATGACAAGCCTCTGACATATTTCTGCAAAATCTTGAATGTTATGTTAAAGTCAGTAATTACAAAAGGTTTTGAATAGTTAAAGAAAACAATTGCCTCAGGAAGGCTTTGCTCACTTCAAATCAGAAAAGGCAAAAGGTTGTTGTCGGTTCTAAAAAACATGTAATGATTTTTCTCATCCAAATTTAACTGACAGTTGATAATCTCAGCGCTCAAACTCATTAACTCAGAGATTATTATCTTGACCTGATAAAACTGAAGGTGAAACTTCAGGAAAATAAAAATGAGGTCTGGAGTGTTTAGACCAAAGGGCGAAGATGCTGCTGAAGTCTGGAACTCTATCCATATTCACCCATCCTTGATAATTAAATACAAGATTTAAATTTTTTTCCTTTGTTGCTTACAGGATGTTTTTTCCTTATTTCTGTAAGTACACACTGTCACATATAATGATTTTCTGTGGTGGGTAGCTAAACACTTTGGAAAAAAACACATAATTTTTCCCAAATTTGGACACAGTTAAATGAACCATCCTGTCATTTTAAGTACACAGCAGCAGAAACCACTCTGGAAGTAAAATGATTTCATATGGGGTTATAATACAAAAGGCATCAGTTTTTGTTATCAGATAGACATCTCTATTGTGTCACATACCTTCAGCAGTATAAACTTCTGAGATAATTTATTTCTTTCTTTCCAGTAAATTAACATTGGAATTCAAGGATAAGACCCTTCCGTAATCAGTAATTTTTGTTATCCTTTCCAATGAGTATATTGATACTAAAGAGGAGTACTGAGCAAGTCTTAACTGGTATTCAGCATAGCCAGATAAGAAGCTGTGAATCTTTTGATCCAGGAGAGAAAAGCCATCTAGACATAGCTCAGCAGCTGGTTAGCCGGGATTACTGTCATTAGTGATACT